TGGTTTCTGAGAATTTGCTATTTGTGTTATCTCAAAAACCTTCTAATACTGAAAAGAAAAATTATTAATATGCAGCATCATCCAATCCCGGTCCCATCTTGGCCTTTTCCAAGACAATTAGGGTAAACATTTTTCGTTGGAAAAAAGTTCCTTAGGTAAATTGTGCTAGACTCCGTTAAATAAACCAATGTTCTGTTCTCAATAGCTAAATGACGCATAGAAATACAGCTTCAAAGTAGCACTAAAGAGAAAGTCTGGCGAGAACAAATGCCAGTATTTTGATTAATTTGTTGGGCCAATCGACGAGGCGAAATAAGCTAGGAGGGAAAATTCAATCCCGTATTTGCGAGCATCTTGTTTTTCAATTTGGACCACTTTGTAGTGCCACTTTAAAACAGCATTGATCTTTGGGTCAAACCACATCACTCTCCAATTTTTGGAAGTTTTCGGAATCTTTTAGACCTCCCCTTGTCTCGACCAGTAGAAAATAAATATATGTACTCGAGCCTCCGAGAAAAAAAATCAATACAAAGAAAAGTGAAAAGTTCGTGTTTGTGAAATCGAGAGTGAATTTGGACGACTCAAAGTTAAATCATTCTGACAAAGATGGTGGGCGTGAAATTTCAAATCTCTCATTGTACAGCGACTTGCGCGAAATTTGAAACAAAATTTGACTATTCTTAACCTTCGCTAGATTTCGTTCAGCTAGTTTCAATTTTTTTGACAACAGAGAAATTCCATGATACCACTCAAATCACTTAATTAGTAATTTTGGCCACAAGTATATCTGCTTCATGCGCCCTAAATGTTAACCACCATTTTTGTCGGAATATCTTAGTGTTTTTATTATACACTCGACTTATCTTTACCACGCTCTTACAGTGCTTGATCATTTATTGATCCTTTATTGTCCATTCCTTCAAGATTTCAGTCTGTAAATTAAAAAAAAAGCAGAAATTTAGCTACAGGGCTAGGAAATTGCACAATATAACGACAAAAAAATGTGTGGTATACAGCACGGACTGGCATTTGAGAAAATAAAAATAAATATTTTGGTTCCGCTATGGTGTATAAACTTCCACACTTGCAGTCCCTCGATAAGGGAAAACAACTTTGAAATGTGGATAACGGCCGGACAGAGAAAATTATTTTCAAAGTTCTTGTTTAGCATCTAACACTGCGCTTTCATTTCTGTTTATGTCCTAGTTCAAAGACCGTTCAGTAAAATGGCTATTGAACTCAAGGTGTGGATGTTTTGGAAATAATTCGTGTTCACGTTTAAGGACGAAACGAAAATAACATTTAAAACGTTCTCAACAGATACACATTTAGAGTTAATTCTCTCTTTCTTTTGGTATTTTTTGGGGGCAAAGAAATCGTGGTGAGAATAAGTCAACTCCTAAGGCGAAACATCGAAGCCACGTAGAAGCTGTAACGGTATTTTAAAACTCGTTTCTTCTATCTTAGAAACTTAATTTAGAGCGAAATCGTGATAAGTTGTTGTTGCTTACCTTTGCTTTACATTTGATGAAGTCTGATGAAGTACATCTGTGGTTTCTTCGGTCCCTGGTCATAACGATTGCCATCAGAAACTCCAGCACTCCGTTTACGTCTTAATACGGCCGCGAACTGTTTGAAATGAAGCAAACTACAATTTGTCATGAATATGGATTAATTAAAAATCGAACCCAATAGCGGACGAGTACGTCACAGCATTTGCCGCGAGCAGCATTTTCACGCTTTCCAAGGCGCTTTTGTTGAATTTTTTTGAATATAATTGCCGCATTATTCGCATTGTCCAGTCCCGAGCAGAAGAGGAATTTTCTTGAATGGCAATTTGCATTTTACGTATAGCTTGGAAAACTGAGTGTTTTTTGGCTACCATCCACAAAGCCGTTTGTGTTGTCTCTAGCAAGGTATCTAAAAACAAAACAAGCAATCGATTAAGCGTGCCTAATTAATGTTTCTCGACCTGAAAAATTCGCGCCAGAGAAAAAAGTCGCGCCAAAGGTGAGGTGTAGGCGCGCGTGTTTTTGAACGTTGCCAGCGATGGAGATGTACATCAGTTGGGAGCTCGTTCCAGTCCCTTTGAACGTCTTGGGAAAAAGGAAACTCGCACNAAAATCGTGATAAGTTGTTGTTGCTTACCTTTGCGTTACATTTCATGAAGTCTGATGAAGTACATCTGTGGTTTCTTCGGTCCCTGGTCAAAACGATTGCCATCAGAAACTCCAGCACTCTGTTTACGTCTTCATACGGCCGCAAACTGTTTGAAATGAAGCAAACTACAATTTGTCATGAATGTGGATTAATTAAAAATCGAACCCAATAGCGGACGAGTAGGTCACAGCATTTGCCGCGAGCAGCATTCTCACGCTTTTCGAGGCACTTTTGTTGAATTTGTTTGAATATTATTGGCACATTATTCGCACTGTCCAGTCACGAGCAGAAGAGGAATTGTTTTGAATGACAATTTGCATTTTATGTATAGCTTGAAAAACTGAGAAGTGTTTTTTAGCTACCATCCACAAAGCCGTTTGTGTTGTTTCTAACAAGGTATCTAAAAACAAACAAGCAATCGTCTAAGCGTGCCTAATTAATGTTTCTCGACCTGAAAAATTCGCGCCAGAGAAAAAAAGTCGCGCCAAAGGTGAGGTGTACGCATGCGTCTTTTGAACCGTTGCCAGCCATGGAGATGTACATCAGTTGGGAGCTCGTTCCAGTCCCTTTGAACGTCTTGGGAAAAAGGAAACTCGCACCACTTTCTCGACCAATCAAATTTTAAACCAAAATCAATGACTGCTTCGTCGGGTGTTTTTTCGCGCTTACAGGGCCCTAGTCAGCTACACCTTTGTTTTTGTTTACATGCGAGAGTTTGGCTATTGTATAAACTTACTGTGAAACTACTAAAGACAATTAAACATACTTTCTGAAACACAACTTACAGTAAAGCAATAAGGTTTCGCTTCACCATGCATTATTAAAATTTTCGATAGTATCGAAAATGGCGGAGGCTGACAAGGGTCATTTAATGCTGCTGGTCTGGTGTTTTGTGTTTTTACTGGTTCATTGTGTCGTTTACGTTCGCTGTGATTGGCTAATGGGATTAATTTGGTGCTACTTATATAAACACTCTCTTGAAACCCACCCCAACAAGAGCTTGAACTAAAATCCTGAAGCATTTATGATTCACACCGTTTCACAAGACGGATGGTAGTTGTATCATCGTTAGGGAAAAATGGAATTATGTCTCTCCAATGAGCTCGAGATATTTGATGAGGCCGAAATTTCAAATTATTTCTGTACGTAGAATTAAACCTCACACTTTAAGAAAATTACTCGGACTGAATACTGTCATTTGAAATTTGCAATCCTGTACGCGCGCGCATCATTTTTTTTTAACAATTCCGACTTTTTAAAGTCAAGACACCTGTTCTTCCGAAACTTCGGGAAAACGAACAGCCACCGCAGACTAATGGCTGATAGTGTACGATAGCTCAGCCAATCAGATTACAGCATTTGCCTTAGTATACAAGTAAAATTATACTGATTTAAGATACCCACCAAGTTTATTTACACATTTTCCATCAACATCAAGTTTTGAGTAAAAAAATAAATACAAGAAAATAGTTAGTTAATAAACTGTTGATATCAAAGCAAAATTGCACCCACGACATATACGAAGCAGTACAGAGCTTTCAAGAAATACTGAGATATTTTGGACTGATAAGATACAAGGCTAACTATTCACACTATTGCTAATGTATCTCAAGCAAATGCAACAAGGAAAATCGGTATATAGCTTCTATTGCACCTTGACCATAGAAAATTAAATGCTGGAGTTGTCGTGTATGCTACATAAATGGAACTTATGTTAGAATAAATGGAAGAGCAAAATTGTCCAAATTAATATAAAATTCTTCTAAAATTAAATTGTTTTTAGGTAAGGACCAGGTTAAGGGAAGATTTTGTAACTTTGGATCNTTTTTTTTTAACAATTTCGACTTTTTAAAGTCAAGACACCTGTTCTTCCGAAACTTCGGGAAAACGAGGAAACGTCGCCATTTCGTAAACGACCTACCGCCACCGCAGACTAATGGCTGATAGTGTACGATAGCTCAGCCAATCAGATTACAGCATTTGCCTTAGTATACAAGTAAAATTATACTGATTTAAGATACCCACCAAGTTTATTTACACATTTTCCATCAACACCAAGTTTTGAGTAAAAAAATAAATACAAGAAAATAGTTAATAAACTGTTGATATCAAAGCAAAATTGCACCCACGACACATACGAAGCAGTACAGAGCTTTCAAGAAATACTGAGATATTTTGGAGTGATAAGATACAAGGCTAACTATTCACACTATTGCTAATGTATCTCAAGTAAATGCAACAAGGAAAATCGGTATATAGCTTCTATTGCACCTTGAGCATAGAAAATTAAATGCTGGAGTTGTCGTGTATGCTACATAAATGGAACTTACGTTAGAATAAATGGAAGAGCAAAATTGTCCAAATTAATATAAAATTCTTCTAAAATTAAATTGTTTTTAGGTAAAGACCAAGTTAAGGGAAGATTTTGTAACTTTGGATCAGTATGACTTATTGTAGTGGTGCAACAATATAGGCATCTGTTACATAAGGGAATTACCAATAATTCATAAAATTAACATGAATAGGCTATACAGTCGAACCTCTATTCAGCAGCCCCCTATTAAGCGGCCAACCTTTATTTGGCGGCCAGTGGCCAAAGTCCCAGAAAAATTGTCAGCTATACACTGTAATAAAAACCTCTATTCAATGGCCACCGTTATTAAGCGGACGCGGCCAGCTTCTTGCCGTCCCAAGGGTGACATTTTTTGTTTTATATCTCTGTTAAACGGCAAGGAAGATTTGAAGTTGGACATTTTTAGCCAGATGAAGGTAAAAGAATGACAATGTGGAATACTGTAAATACACATTTTCAGCAGTATTTAATTAAAACAATCACAAAACAAAGTCTCCAAGCGTTTTAGTTTATTTGTACAGCACACGAGCCAGTGTTAGGTTGACAGACACGTCGCGTCTGTACACCTAATTGTTTCTTTGGGTTTTGTTAACGTTATGGACCGCATTATAACCATCATTGTTCTACTTTTTCTCCACATGCATTTACCAAAGGCTGTTGCCAGTGGGGGAGTCTGGGGGCATCTTCCCCCAGAAAATTTCCGCTTTCTCGGGCCAAGTTAGCGCGTTATAATGTCTCATTTTGTCTACTTTAGGGCTTTCAACCAAACCCCCCGAACCCCCATAGATCCGTCCCAGACTATGAATTGTAACATTGTGTCACTCTAGAAGTTTAAAAACACACTATTATATATGTTATAGTTAAAAGTTACATATAGTTAAACAGACTGTTCCATATCTACTTGTCACTCTCTTTTTTAATACGTAGACTTCTCCTGACAGGTGCATTCTGCTGAATGAAAGAAACACACCAATAACATAAGCAAAAAAATGAAATATCATTGGACTTTTTCAACCTCACCCTAACACCAGCCAAGGGCCTCTCAAATGGACATTAGGTACCACAGACCCCTTAAGGCTTGTCATAAAAATCTTTCCTTTCCACGAGGGGAGGAAAGATTGCGTGACATACATGCACATTGGGAAAGAAATATTGCATGACATAAACGTGGGAGGAGAGTTTGCGTGACATACAGAGATAAGGAAAGATTGCATGACAAGCCCAAAAAGTGTGTGGATAGGAGGAAACTTGTATATTTGGCGATCAGACTGCAACAAAATATCTCGAAATATTAGCCTGACAGCTTGGCACAAAGAGCACAAGGTGGTGTGATGGTGCAAAACGTACTCTGAATTATGAGGAAAAGGTAACTCGAGCATGTTGTTAAAATTGTACAAGAAGATAATAAGTCCTAATTCCCTGTGTTGAAGATTTCCTTATAGTCTCATCACTTGTTTAGCTGACATCTTGTCATTTTTTAAAGGAGAAATGACATGACAAGCTCATTGTGTTGTCTAGAGGATTTGAGTCAGTTACCTTCACTTTGGGTGTTTTGACTCTGCTTTGTTTCTGAACAACTTTCTTCTTGCTGACTTCTATAGAGAGGGAAAGAAGGCAAAAAATTGGTTCACTACATTTTGGCCAGGCCACTGAGTTCTCACTTTGGGTTCTGCGACCAAGAATATTTCAGGTGAATATTAAGTCACTGTAAAGAGCACTGTTGCAAAATGGTTATGCGCC